TTTCCGGTCACAAAAAGAGGCCAGGGTAGTTCAATATAGGTGGATGGAGAGTCTCGAAGTCGATGGGTGGTCCGCAGGAGAACGACCGTCATCGATTCTCCGGGCTCGTTACGTGGTGGTCTGGGACAGTTATGGGGCGGCCAAGGCTGGCTGGCCGATCAAAATCCAGGGAAGAGTGATTGTAAGTTTTATGAAAGGGCAAAAAAAAAATGTTTGACAAATGGATCGGGTTTGCTAGAAATGAAATTTTCAAGAATGCTGACTACACTCATAGGAGAGCCTTGTGTAATCGCAGGTCATCGTTATCGCGTTATTGATTATGCACTTTGTCTGTGATTATCGGGTAATTTACGTTGCCCGACGCCGGCCATCGATCTCTGGTCCATTTGCCTGTATCCGCCGGTATCGCGCGGGGTGAAGGAGCCTTGGTAGAGCACAGCAATCACAGCTCGCCGACAGAGCTTCGGCAGCTCGCCGTCAGAGTTTCGGCAGCTATCCTCTTGTCAGTGCAGCTCCGTTGAGCGCCGCAGCGCGGCTTGCATTAAAGCACTTTGTTGTACTAGATCTCGGTTGGCGAGACAGGATATCTACCTCGGGTCTGAGCATTTGACGGTGCTGCTGAGTCGCCGGCGACCGCTCGGTCGACCAGACACGGTCGGTGTGTCGCGGTTTTCCGGTCCGTTTTCCGACAGCGGTGGACTGATGTGCCGACCCGTCTGGTCATGATTCCCAGTAGAGATGGAAGTAGCTGTTACATGCCACAGAGCATTGGGCATGGACAGACAGCCAGTACATTTGGACGGCGGCCTTTGAAGACCCAGTCCATTCCCAATGCCCTAAACTTCAGAGTGATCGGTCAGTGCCGTGCTGCTCTACCTCAGCCAGTGACGGCGCTCCTACCTCGACCGCTGCGGGAGGTGTCTGGTCCGTTGCCGAGAGAGCGGCGCTCTGCAGCGCGTGGGCAGCCAGCGCAGCCCATGTTTGGGAGCAGGCCGGTGTCAGGTGGCGGCCAGCGGCCCGCTCGGTGGCCTTGTGCGGCCTGGAGCACTACGGGTTTGCGCTGCAGAGCGGGGGTTGTCCTCAGGACGTACTGTTTGGGTATGAGTCAGGAAGTGGGGTTTTACAGCCGTCTAGGCCCCATACCCAGAGTCTGACATGCGGTGTATGTAAGGGTATGCTTAAAAATAGTATACTTTTTGGATTTCAGCTCTAAAAATTATATTGACCGTTACGTTAGTGTTTCAGCTCGACACCATTTCGCGCCAATCACCAGACAGTAATTCCATTTGGCCCGACTGTCGCAGTAACTCGGTTCGTTTCCATCGTGTCTGGCTTTATATCTTTTCTAGTGCCTTTTAACTAAATAACCTCTGAACATCGGCTTTATACTGTCATTTTGTGACAGGCGCCCACTGTCAGTCTGGGCACGATTCGTGCTCGCCCGTGACAACCGTCTCTTTCCCGGGACTCAGACTGCCCTCCCCAGTTGACGGGCTGGTGTCTCTGTGGTCTTAGGCAGGGTTAATCAGACAGCGATGTATTTGGCTGAGTGCTGTAGCCTTTTGCTAGCTTGTTGTTTGTAGGGAGACATTTTAAATAGCGCCTTTACTTATGTGCTCTCGTTCTCTTAATAGAAACTAGCGATGCTTGTCAACAATTCTGGTAATGTATTCATTTTGGTCTCCGGGCGCGTCGATTGTGAGGTCGTTTACGCGACAATTCAGTTATCTCTGTTTGTATTACATCGAGCTGTTTTGCTCGGAATGCTGCCATTACTCCCTCCATCAAATTTCCCGCAGTGCCTATTTCTATGCGTACTTCCTCTCACTCGTCCGTCTTACCATACGCAGTGCCTGCGGTCCGCCGCTGGCAGAGGCTGCTGCCATTTTCAGCCTGGAATTACCCGTTGGTGGAGTTCCATTCGGCCGAGACGTGCCCGCTCGCTGTGCCTTTAGCCGGTTCCGCGCTGTGAAAAGCGGTGCTTCAGGCTGCCTTAGAAACGCCGGAGCAGCGCTCAAAGGCCTGCTGATTGACGGATTTCGGGAGATCTCCCGGCGAAGTGTGAAGTCAGGTCGGGAAATGAGGTGACCTGGTTGTCGGCAGAGAATGATTGGAGGATTTCTGGTGGTCGGAAGGGGAAATATAGCGGCACAAATGAGTGTCGGGTCGGTCATGGCCTCTCGCTGCAGGTACTCGTATGTGCCTCATGGCGAGGTCAGGCGGAGTGGATTGGGGTGTTTGGGGTCGTTCCCATACCTTCTGTCGTTGATGTTGCGGAAACTCTCTAGCGGAGTGGCCTCGGGGGTATTTCACCGTTGGAGGTCTGCAATATCCGCCGGCGCCGCCGCCGACCGGTCGGCGTGTTAAACGGACCGGCCGGCGCGAACGTGACCGGGAATAATTTGACCGGTCAGAGGCGGCTTCTTGTGTTGCGGTCGTGCCGCCGAACGGCTGGGTCTCGGTGGGAGGTTGTGTGGCCGTGTCACCGGCCTTTGTCTTGAATAGGCCGCTCACGGTTCCTTCCGGCCCCGGCCGGCTATGACACTTCCCATGATGGTACAGTCTCGTCCATTCATGAACCGACCATCGTACCCCCTGACAGCGTGGGCTGCCATACCGTCTCTACAACAGTGCTCTGCTGGTAGAGACACGCCTCTGCCCGTCTGACCGCCGAGTATTTACGGTTCGGTGACGTGGCCGGACGCCGGCCTTCTCCGGCTGTGCTGGCCGTGGCTCGTTTGTTTATGGCGCGTCTGGGATGGTTGGAGGGGCAGTCGTGCTGCTCAGCGGTGGACAGAGGCTGGCGCTGGCGGCGCTGCTGGAGGAGCTGCCACGTGCAGGGGTGGGAAGGAAGGGGTGGCTAGACTCATGAGTCAGTTTGTGACGCTGTGGTCTGACTGGTTTCGAGTCACGATTGAGAGTTGTGAGCCAACACGGGAGCAGTGTTAGCGTTGGGGAAGTTTTGTGAGTGATGTTTTTGATAGGTAACCCGGTGGATGGTCAAGCGGCAGATATTGAATGATATACATATGAAGCTCATCTCTCGAGGACATTGGTCTGATGTGAACCTGTTTGTCTTTTGCCGTGACTTTCACCTTACCTTTCGCTAGACTCGTCTTCCGACAACTCATCTACATTCGTGCATCCATATCTTCAATAAATATCCTTCATTCATATCTGCATCCATTCATTCACTATTCCATTCATCGATACCACCGTCCACCAATTATAGTTTGCAACGGCTACTGAGAAAAGTAATGCCTTACATAGTTGAACAGTTCTCGCACAAGTTGAACTTCCATTCTCCGAACAGGTCTGATGTAACGGTTAAACTCTTCCGCCACAATCATTGACCAGTTCTCAGCCCAGTGCCTACCCGCGGAGCTGACCGATCCCGTTGGCCCTTCGCGGCTACGCTCCGCCACCAGCGATCCAACAGTGACGCCCTGATCTCAGCCGATCTGTGATTGACGAGGACACCGCCAGCGGAGCTCGGAGTAGTCTCGGCGGACCAATTGATAGACCGGCGGCAGATATGGCCACGGCTTATATAACGCTCCATTCTCGGACCATGGGAGGCGCAGATCGGGAGCGTGCCACTTCAACCGATTGATTCGCTTGTCTAAAAGTGGCCATGGTCATTGATTTATTGATATTTCGACCTAGATGTCTCATGGCATTCATAATTAGTTTAATATTTTCCCTTGGTCATTTGAACATCTACGATAAGCTAATGAACTCATGAACTCTTTGTTTTGTTCTTGAATCGTGTGTCTCCACCCCTCATCCACACACCGCAGTGTCCAAGCCCACGCTCTGCGAAGTGGCGGAGGGCCTTGCCGGTCTAGCCAATATACCCGGCTGGAGCCCGCCGTCAGCCGGCGCGGCTGGACTGTGACGCCGCCGGTCGGCTGGACGGTGACTCAGCCATTGCGGGAGCGGCTGGCTGTCCTGGTGACGTCACCGCTGACGTGGACCGCCACCGATGGCCTCGGCTCAGTCCGACGGCCCTGCAGGGCCGGCACCCACGGCCGCCGCCACCAGCTGCCGTAACCGCGTCTGGACGGCAGTTGGCGAGAGTTTAGTGCGAGTGCGCGCACTGCCGAAACGAGACTCGGGCTTTGGAGGCGTCAGGGTCATGCTTTTATCTTGAGTGTTGGGTGCTGGATGTTGGCTGCAGTTGTATGATCAAGTTATTATTTGAACGACCTTGGACGCTCATGAAACGGAGTCTTGACCTATAGCCAGACATGTGAGAGCAAAGACCTCTGTATACCGGAGTCAAAGGCCAGAGTTGAAATAATGGAGGGCGTCGCGAGCAGCTGCCTGGGTTTTCGAGTTTTGCCGATAGGTAGATGGCGCTGGCGGTGTGCGCCTGAAAGTAGGCTGTGCCGCGCGGCACGGGTGGAGTGGCCGAGGACAGTGCCTCTGGATGGTTTCGTGATGCGATGACCCTGGTTGGTACAATCTTGGTTGTTACGATGGTGGGCCGTATTGAGATCATGGTTGGTACCATTCTTGGTTGGTACGTGACGATGAGGGTCTCATCGTCACCGTAAGACAGCAGGCTTCACTCTGCTGCTGAGTCGTGTTTGGCTACTTGCTTTGAATTTTCTCTTTGATTACCTAAACAGCCAGCAAAAAACATGCAGTTTGGTACTAAAGGCGTTATTGACCGCGATGAACTGATCAAAATCACATCGGTTTGCATTATTCTTGAATGGGTTTTCGGATAGCTGATCGATCCCCACCTGCCTGCAACGATAATTGCCAAAGGGTATCGGTTTCAGTACCTTGGAACAACACTGGCTCGCTTTGGTAACCGATACTCGGTCCTTATTATCGTGCGGACCACCAAGTATCGCTGTGTGCTGTGACTGGATTGTGTTTGTCAGCTTGTGGTGATACTTGAGACTGTTTGTGAAATCTGTTACGTCAGTGGAGTGTGTTTGCAAACTGTGACGCCAGGAGACTGACTGGTCGTTCTCTTTCCTTTCCAGAAAGAAGATAGAGTCAATAGGCAAGATGACGGCACAGTCGCAAGACGAGATCATGACCAATACGAAGACGGTCATCCAGGGTAAGTGGACCGACTCCCCACTCCTACCGGTCGGGCTACTTAACCATGTGGACATGGACAATGTTGTTCTCGCTGGCAGGCCACCTTACCTCGCCGGGGTCACAGGTGGTGGATCTCGCTAACCTCATTACTCTACCTCCCCTCCCCTCTCCCCGCGCGGCTGTCGGTACCCTGCCGGTCGACCACAAATCGCTAACGGCCCGCCGCCATGCTCGTAAACACGCGTCGTGCCCGGGTTGGGTCGTGGCCACCGGGGCCGCTGGGAGCAGTTACCTGCGGTGACCAGGTGGATGGAGGCTCGGCGGGGAGGTGATGGCGGTGGAAGTTAGCCGATGTGGGCGGAGTTATGGGCAGTGCTCGCTATTTCTTGCCGTCGGGTGAGCTGGGGCCGAGGAATGAAGAGTTGTGATCCCCGTGTGGATTGTAGAATAAGGGGGCTTCACATCTCTCCCCTCTCTCTCTCTCTCTCTCTCTCTCTCTCTCTCTCTCTCTCTCTCCCCTCTCTCTCTCTTCCCCCCTCTCTCTCTCTCTCTCTCTCTCTCTCTTTCTCTTTCTCTTTCTTTCTATCACTGTCTTGCCACCATCCCCCGGGCTCCGAAGCCAAATCCTACAATCCCCACCACCCTGACCGGTCGACTGGCCGCTGCGTCTGCCTCGTCCCAGTACCCCCAGTGCAGTGTCCGGCGGTCGTCTGTCCCGTCCCCGCACTCCCAGTGCAGTGTCCGGCGGTGGTCTGCTGCCACCTCCGTCTCGGCACCCCAGTGCAGTGTCCGGCGGTCGTCTGCTGCCACCTCCGTCCCGGCACCCCAGTGCAGTGTCCGGCGGTCGTCTGCCCCGTCCCGGCACCCCCCAGCGCAGTGTCCGGCGGTCGTCTGCTGCCACCTCCGTCCCTGCACCCCCAGTGCAGTGTCCGGCGGTCGTCTGCCCCGGCTGACGTCACCAGCAGGTTCCCGTGCTTATGTTGGCCGGCTGGACAGCTACGTGTGTGATGTGTTTGTTGAATCACGGCCGGGACTGCGCTGGCAGCCCCGTCACGGCCCGGCGTGAACTGGTGAATGAAGCGCCGCATCTTGCCGAGCTTTGTGCCGGGCCTAGGGACAAACCTAACCTCATCTTATTATCCGAGACATGGAGTGACATAGGAGCGGACTGGGACAGACCAGCCAATTCGGGCGGTGGGAACAGATTCCACAGGCGTGTTTTATGCAGATCTCCATGATTGGCCGGGATCCTGGCAGGCAGATTGGATGCGGTTTGGTGGCGAAGGCTGTGCTGAAGTCATGACCCAATGGCGCTGGCTGGGATGTGATGAGATGTGACGTAGGAAATTGTGTTGCCAGATGTTACTTTGCAATATTTTGCGGTAGGTGTGATGCTTCGAGTGTCTTGAGTTGTCATCGCTCAGCATAGCTATCAGCTGTTGCTCTACAGTCGATAATTGAGCGGCATGCCTCTTTTTATATCAGATACAACATTTTGTTCCCTTATTTTTAGACCTGTCTCAATACAAAATTACTTAACTTGCATGCTTGGTGGCGTCATACGCTTTTGTTTTTATATTTGATACTGTATCACCCCTGCGACCTGACTCGACCACACCATGTCAGTAACGCTATTACGGTCTTGTGACAACGTCGTTTGAACCCAGAGCGAACCCGTAACTCAGCGCCGAGACCAGAGCGAGCTCGGTAACTCAGCGCCGAGCCCAGAGCGAACTCGGTAACTCAGCGCCGAGCCCAGAGCGGGCTCGGTAACTCAACGCCGCTCCAATATGGACAGTGTCACGATCTGAGGGCTGCCGTAATCACCGTGCCGCCGCCAGCCCGGTCAACGTCTGGGCTCGTTTCGCCACTCCTTTCTCTGACCATACTGCTGTGTGACGTGGATGGAGTTTGATCACTGAAATACAAACTGTGACGACCGATTAGGCTGCTAATGCATGTTTAATTATTACTTTGATCACTGCCATTCGTACTCAGCGCTGGTATGCTGTTTGTGTCTATGGCATGTCTGTGCTGATCTCCAGTCCCACCCACACAGCCCACACCGTCCGGCCCTCCAGACCACTGCGCTCGCCCTGACGACCAGTCCTCCCTATCGAACAGGCCACCCTATCGACCTACCCGCTGACCACACATTCACGCACTGTCTGCCCGTTCTGACTAACCCTGCCCACCTCCCCTGCTGGCCAGTAGCCACCCTTCTGACCATTGCCCCCGTCCCCCGCCAGGCCTGGAGGCGCTGCGGAATGACCACAACTCCATCCTGAACGGCCTGGTGGGCTCGATGAAGGCCACCGAGGAGCGCTCCGAGCTCGTCGAGGAGAAGGCCGGGCTCATCCAGAAGAGCCTGGACACCATTGAGCTGGGACTCGGCGAGGCACAGGTGAGTGCCAGAGGAGTGCGCGAAGAGTGATGAGTGTGAGTGCTCGAGGGGTGCGCGAGGAGTGATGAGTGGGAGTGCGGGGCCAGGCGTCCTCGAGGAGTGATGAGGGTGAGTGCTCTGTAAGGCAGCTGGGATACATCATGTGATGCTTTGGGGCTTGATTTGGGGCGGATTACAGGTAGGGGTTGCGCTTGGTTTGGTGCTAGGTCTTGGCGAGGGTAAAGGTGAGCGCTGACTTCAGCCTGAAAGATGGAAACGTTGGACTGTGGAGGCCCGGATGAGCCAATTGGGCGCAGTGGCGTGAATTTAATACTTTGGGCACTAATTAAGTGTTGGGAAAGTGGGTCGGAATTACTTATGACACACAGTTGCCTATAATCACGTTCAGTTTGTGTCAGCTGTATGCTGGACTGTGTGAAGGCTTTGGTATTTAATGTGGGCTGGGTTCTGCCCATTGCAGAGTTGTATAACCTCTTATTTTGGAAGTTTAGAATTTATGCGAGCGTGGGAAGGCTAATTATGTCATCAACGTATTGGCGTCAGCTCGATGCGTTGCGTCAGTGTTTAGTCCTTTTGACTGCTGTCATGCTGAGAGCTCCTGCACCCAAAGTATGATAGCCTACCCCAGTATTTGGCCCCATGAAATCAGCGCTGAACAGTTGCTGGTATTAGCTGCACCGTTAAAGCCTACGTCCCGACTGAAGTGATTGTCGAGTTTTCCGGAGCCGCCAGTCAGCCCCGGCTCGGCGTGAGGCCACTGCGTGACTGGTGGCTAGTCGCGGCCAGCTGCTCCCCGTGATGGCGTCAACGGACAGCCGTAGGTCAGCTCGGCCCCCGTGATGAAGCCTTTGGTGGTCATCCCTCAGCAATATGTGGCAGCTTGAACCCACAAAAGTCCGACGGTCGCGTTTGAGGGCGCACTAAATCTGGCACTGTGTCGTTTGTTGGGGCTGTTTTGGTCGATTGCGCTGGTCAGGTGGGCGGGTAGTTCTACTTTCTCCCGCCAGATGTCAGTCGTGGCGTGATGAAGTGTGGGTGGGCGGCGGCTGGAACTGTTGCGACGGCCGACGTATTTGGTGGTCATTTTTCGGCGTGGGCAGCGGATTTGTTTGTTCAGCACACCCGGAGGTGGTGCAGAGCGGTGAAATATGAGCTTTACTGCCAGTCTGGAGCAGGCAGAGGCTGTCCGGTGGCTATTGCCTGCTTTTGGTTCCGTGTAGTTATTTTTTCTCGTCTCTATAGCAGCTAGACCAGCTGTCATAGTCGCATCATTGCCAAGCTTTGAGAACACTCAGAGGAGCTGAATTTTCGAGAAAAAAATGTAAGCTCAAAGGAGCACGATCAAAATGTACGCTCGCTCTGTTCCGAAAGTGGTGCTCGGTCCTGCTGTCCCCAGTCCCGGTCCGTCCGGCTGGCTGACGCGTGAGTGCGTCACATGCGTCTTCTGTCGGCCGGCCGAACGGCAGGGTCGACACGCTTCCCCCGCCCCGCCCGAAATAGACAGACCCTCGGACGGAACCGCGGTCTGCCGCCGCTGCAGGGGATGCCGACACCGCGAGATGGATATTTGCGGTTCTCAGCAAGAATACGGGCGGGACTGTGGATTTTGTAGACTGAGCACTGCGTTGCTTTCGTTGGTGAAGATGATAAATTTCTGTTTATATCTAATAAGCGTTATTGTAGCTACTTATAGCTGGTTGGTCTTGCTTTATGCACTGCTTTTCTCTGATTTCTGCTCACTGTTCCTGACTTCTGTCTTTAACCGTAATTTCTGTCCCTTCCTATCCATGTATCCGTGGTAGTATAGTGGCACTTCCTGGGTATCCTCTCTGCCTCCCGGAATGTATCCGGTCTGCCACCCGTGGCGCGCGTCAGACGGATCCGCCGGACGGCACTCAGCTGTCCTCTCCCGCTCTGTCCCACTGGGTCGCTCTCTCCTCTCTGCTGTGCCGAGCCTGTGGCGGTCTCTGCCTCCGGCGGCGCTGGACTGTGTGCCGAGCGAGCTCGGTTATCCGACGAACAAACACGACAGAGCGCTGTCCCCAGGTGGCGGACGGAGGTCGGACGGGGTCGGAGGGTCGGGGCAGAGCTGACGGGAAGGAGGGAGGGGGATATGGGCGGACCGCAGGTTTTTTTTTGAATATTCCGGCAGATTCTGCTACAGAGTTAAACGAAAATGTCAAAGTTTCAAGGCGGTATCTAAAGCAATGAAAGTAGATAATTTTATATTTTGCCCAAGCGATTAATCATGGTGCGAGCTGCCGTGCTAATCTCCATGATAAATTAGTTAATGCAAAGTTATGAGCTGAGCATTAGTCATTGTTCGTCGGACCTGCAAATGCCCCGGCCGTGATGTATGACTGGAGAATTTGTTGCGATAATGAAGGGCTATCGATGGCCATGTTCGTGCTACGAGTACGAGAACAGGCGTAATTTATGCTTCCATGAACCATGGTTGATGCCACGCTTGTTGTAGAATCCTAGGTCACGTAAGGGTGTTTTCAGCGAACCAGAAGCCTGGCATAGCATCCCTGCACTATCCGCTACTCTACTGCGGGTTTTGTTCTGTTCCCTCACTTTTTTCTGGCTGGTTTCCTCAATCGCCCATTATCGCCCCTCTCTGCTGGCACTCAGAGTAGACTGCATCTGCCGTCCGTTCATTATGGCCCCCTTTATCGCCTTCCAATGGCGGCGATCGGCAGCGCACTGCGCCACGATTGTCCGCCGGCGCCGACCGCACCCATTGTACCGTGATGGACCCGGGGCGGCGGTCACTGTGAACTATTCCCTGTCCGACTGGCCGGTGCCTGCCGCTGGGTGTATCCCTGCCGCCCCGCAGACCGGTCATGCTGCAGTCCCTCTGCAATCCCTCTGCCGTTGATCCGCCGCAGCTCGCCCCGGCACTAACGCGCCTCTGCGGCGCGGCGGCTGGCGGCGGTGGTATCCCGCGGGGGAGGCTGTCTGCTCGCCGCGCCTAGATTGGATGAGCTGTGCGGCCGTCCGTCGGGGGGTGGACGTATGACGGCGGTGATGGGATGACCCGGCCCGGCGGGGAGTGACGTAGTGACCCGCCCGCAGAACGGGAATGGACGACAGATGGGCAGCGCCGCGAGGGAGTGGCAGATGGGGGGGGGGGGGATCGGGAGTCCTCGGCGCTTGACAGGATGGCCGTTGGCCTGAGGCACTCTGGATTTACTATATTGCACTGTACTGTCAGTCAATCTGATCGGTCGAGCTGGTTGAAGGAAACTGCATATTCTGTTTGAGAATAATGTCGTTCAAGCGCGTAAAAAAGTCAGTCAATAATGCTGATTGGTGTTTTGATTGCTCAATCTCATCCAGAGCGATAACTTTCCATCGTCCCCTACCCCAGCTGTTATGGTCGGTCTAGCGAACAGCCAGCCGTCCAAGGCGGGCCAGGAACGAACGGCGTGACTGTCGGCGGACAAACACGGTCACAAAAACTGTCCGGCCGTCTCCCGCGAGGAGCTGCGACCAACTGTCTGTGGTGGGATGGGTGCGGTCTGGGCCGCGTCAGCCGGTCGCCAAGGGACGGAAACGGGCAGAGATGGAGGGAGTGTGAGTGTATGGGACGGGGAGAAGGAGACGGAGAGGCCGCATCAGAAGTCAGAGAAGGAGGATCAGTCCTGACAAAGCTGAAGCGTTTTCCTTTTTAGCTTCACAAGCTACAGCTATGTGAATTATGTGGGATTGATTATAATTGCCTTTTTTGTATCTACATCTTTCTTGCGACTCGAGTCAGCTTTTAAAGCCATTGCAGTAGAGGATTCTAGCTGGCTGGCGTGAATCGCATGAATTCTTACCACTCCATGCGGCGCTGGAGCGTCCGTTGACCGAGATCCAGAGCGTGACTCTCATTACGGGTTGCGTGACGGCTCCTCTGCTCCTGGACCGAGGCGCATGATGTGTCGATACTGAACTGTGGATGGAAGTGTGATTAACTTCCCTGTCAGTAACCGTGACTTTTGATGCTTCGGACAATATGGAGTCGCAGCGCAGATCTTGCTGTGCGTGATACGAGAGTATTGGCCACGCATGGAATGGGAGCAATGGGGAAATGGCAACTATTCTTATTATTATTACCTATTGTTTGTGGGATGAAGCTGGATCCCGAGGGTAAACTGAGACTCGACGTTGATTTGGTCAGTTAGCTCTCCTCGCCAGGGCAGCTTACCGTAACGTGCTCATCAGTTTGTTTAGCTGACAAGGGTGCGCCTTGTTTTGGTCAAATTTCCTATGGTGAAGCGATGTGTTATTTCATGCTATACTGCCGCGCGCTACCCGGTCCCTTACCGTTCATGATCTTTCGCGGCAGTGTAGTGGGGAGATCAGGGATGTGCGTACCCACATGCGGGCTGCTCGTGAGTTATCGAAGCATCGAGCCGCCGCTTGAGAGAGCGGAAGAGTTCATTGAATGATGAGTCTCTGGACCATGGTGGGACGCCTGTGGAGGGGAATAAGTCCGACTGACGGTTTAGCTGTTCCTGTTGCCCTGCTGCCTTTGACGACACCGGTTTTTCTTTGTGATGATGATGCCAGGTGCCCCTGTTGCAAATGCTGATTCCGTGTTTCCTTGTTACAGGTGATGATGGCTCTGGCGTCTCATCTGCAGGGAGTGGAGGCCGAAAAGCAGAAGCTGCGCGCTCAGGTCCGGCGACTGTGTCAGGTACGAAAACTCGTCACCCACTGGTTCTCTCAACACGCCCAGGCTCACACTCTCAGCCTTGTGTGTCCTTCGCATGTTTGCGGCACGTGTCCAACGGAGGTCTTTCCTGCCCGGTTTGTGGAAAACACTGCCCTTTTGTCTTCGCTGTACCGTATAGTAAGGTCATTTCCCCACGCCATCTGCCTAATTTTCGGTTGTGTGCAAGTAACTAGGTCCCACATGCAGCACTATGCTTTGTAGTCGACGTCACCCACCCTCACCAGTGTCACTGTTTACCGCCCTATCGGGAACATTTTTCCATCCACCCAGTCGTCCTGAGCCATCCCATACCCACTTTGAAACTCAAACTCGTGCCCCGGACCGCTGACCCGCTCGAACAGTGGTCCGGCGGGCCGCACCAGTCGGCTGCGACTCGGCTAACTCGGCCTAACGAGCAGATCGATACTGGGACGACAGGCCGCACTGGACGGGTGTGTCGTCCGCCGGTCACTGGGTCTTCACGACTTCGGAGAACGGCCAGAGCCAACACTGCGCCGCTGGAGCATCTCACGACAGGGCGGGGAACTAATGTGACACGACTTGTTTCGGCCACAGTGGAGCGCTTTTTTCAGCATGTTTTTTTTTTTACCCTGAATTGTGCAAACTTGCAGATTGCTCAAACCTGTTCGCCAATGTGCTTCAAGGATAAACTTATCTAGCCTTCAGAATTGTGAAGAAGCTTTCTGAAGCCGTGATAAGCCAGGCCCTGGTAGCTGATAAATCCGCGATCACAGCATACAAAACCAGCGCTGATGGCTGCCACGCCGTGCCACGGCCAGCTCGAATACCAACAGCTCGGAGCCGAAGTTGGGTCTTAGCGTCTCTTCGGATCTGAAGCCGAGGTCTCGGTACTGTCTGCCGGGAGCCCGTCACGGCCCGTGACCCCACCAAGCACGGCCCGTGACGGTGCATCCGGCGAGCGTGACGGGCTGGGGCGTCCGTCTGCCGACCTGTGACGAACTCGGCGGGCCCAGCGGGCGGAACCAACAGCACGGAGGGGAACTGGGAGCGGTGATGGGAACTGGAACTGAGGTGAACGGCAATGGAAGTCTGGGAGAATGGAAACTCGAGTCGATGTGGATGGGAACTGGAGTCGAGATGGATTGGAACTGGGGATGTGGTGAAATCTGAGCTTGAAACTGGATGAACAAAGTTTGGAATGTGGCAACAGAAGTGGAAAGGCGGCAAAGGAATTAGAACCGGGACCAAACTGAAACGCGGTACTGTCTACCATCTGAAGACGTAGCGCTAACAGACATGAAGACCGGAAACCATGCGCGCAGTAACGGGCATCGAGGAGAGGAAACCAAACAAGTAGACTGGTCGCATCAGACGGGAGGGGGCGGGAAGCCGCACATTGAGCTTGTATGAGATTCCATGCATGGCAAACAAGGGTTCCGGAGAATCCAGACGCAGAAACGTGCGATGGCTGGAGAGGTAATGCCACGCCGCGAAGCGAGGCATACCACATAGACAACCTTACAACGTCTTTTCCCATGCGGGATGAACGCGCCTCTGACAATATCTCGAAAATTGGCTGACTGTTGGACGGTTTTCGCCGACATTTCTGTGGCTTCCATGGTCGGGGTCGGCCGTCCACTCAGACTTACGATGTTCACTGGTCAGGCTATTCGCTGGGGATGCACTTTATGAGAATGAGAGACAAATCCCATGAGACACGGTCTCAGTTTGAGCGTCCCAAGGCTTATCTGCAATGTATGCAAATATGTGGCGATTGTGGTGAAATGGAAGACACTAATGCCGATTGGCCTGTTCGACTGTGTGACATCAGTTTCCCTTCTTTTTAGTTTTGTATAACGTGTTGTCCGCATTGTTGCTGATCTCAGGATGTTTGAGGCAGTCTCTGATGGACTTTTTCTTCTGTGCTTTTCGCCGTGTCTCTTTATGTCTCTTCTTTAAACCCTTGAATCATGGTAAATAATTGTTTATTTGCGTCTTCGTAAGCTGCCGTCATGAATTGCTCTTTGTTGCAATGACGGATGATGTATTCCTTCGTACATCTGTGTCGCATCCACACTCAATTGCTACCTGTGATTCAACAGTACCTATCAAACAAGCTAAGTGTGTGATGCCTCGCCTGTTACCGTTTCATGCTTAGCATGTTTCACCCGATCTTACCATGAACTCACCTTCTCCTAGCCGGAAGGCCATTTTAACACTTCTCCTTCCCGTCCTGATGTCGTTTCCAGGAGAACGCGTGGCTGCGAGACGAGCTGGCGAACACGCAGCAGAAGCTGCAGGCCAGCGAACAGCAGGTCGCCCAACTCGAGGAGGACAAGAAACAGCTCGAGTTCTTCAACTCCATCAAAAAGTACGACCAGGACAATCAGGTGCGTACCAGGCGCTCGAAAACGCAAGAATTGTGGAATGTTGGTGTTCTTGGTGGATTGTGGCTACATTTGGTGTTTCGTTTTAGGTTGGCATTGGCTGCTATCAGATGTTTATTTTCTGTTGCAATGCACATTGCACATCCGTGTATATTAAAACTGTGCATTAGTTTTGATTTTTCATTCTATTCGCAGAGCAAATAACGTTTATCCTCTCAGTTTATTCTATAAAAAAAACATTTACAACTACAAAGTGTTCCGAATTTGCGCCAAACCTTGTATATCCTCCGGGGCCGGTCATAATATGTTGGAAACTGCTGATTAGTTTTTCCCCGACTGTGCACAAATTCCATTGAAGCACTGCTGTGAGGCTGGAACTTTTGATGATGAAAGCTCGAAAGTGGCATGTTTACTGTAACCCTGTTACCTTCTCGACAATATTTTAGAACAGCCACGAAGCGCCTAAATTACCTCTTTTAAAACGCTATTACAAAGCAAACCTGGCCTCATAGCTATCATTTAACCCCGCAGCTATTTTGGTACACAACCAGGTTATGATAATGAAAAATGCACCGCCTGATTTCTTTTTACTGTGCTGGATTTCGCCGTCTTGGCTTCCATTCGTCTCGACGGGAGGGCGGCGGACGGTGTCGCCTTGCGGACTGCTGATGTAGGCTCTGGGGGAGCTCTCCGAATACTGAACGAGCTGAGGCGTCTGATGGAAGCTGAGGGCGGTGGTATGGAGGGCGGGTAGTGGAGGAGACTAATATGGGGCCGTGGTGACTTTGTGTGACTGGATTAGGGCTAATGTGTGTCGACGATGGCTGGGTGATAGATAATTAATTGCTTCTGAACTGAACGTCAACCGTCAGGTGTTTATACAGAAACGCTTCTACAACAGTAGCACCAAATGACATTGATAATGATTATGTTTGAGGAAGCTTGTCCTGACAAAAGAAAGGTTGTCCTGGGTCGCCATTGTAGCCAAATGATGTCCCCTCCCTCTGTCATTAGTCTTCCTTCTCTTTGTTGCGTGCTCCTTCGCGAGGCCGGTGGACATTGGACAGTGGACAGTGAGGCCGGCCGGTCGGTATTCTTTGTTTACCAGGGCTGTATTCGTGCTGACCTACCAGCCCAGCGGCCAGACAGCCGGTCGGTCAGTGGGCCTTGCTTGTGTACATACCTAGGCTATATTCGTGCGGACCTTTCTGTCCATGGGCTTGGTGGTCGGCGGACCTTCTTTGTGTACCTGGGCTGTATTGTTGCGTACCTACCTGTCCAGTGTTCACCAGTCGGCGGGCTTTCTTTGTTTACCTGGGCTGTACTCGTGCGGCGGCGGTGGCGGTGGTGGTGGCAGCACCCCGCGCCAGCCGGTCGGACGGCCGATCGATCGACTATGACGTATCGCGGCTGGGGGTCGGGCTGTAGGTGGGTGGTGGGCAGACATGTGCATGGATCCGAGAGCTGGATCTATGATCTCAGTGGATCTCTCGACAAAATAGAGGGGTTGGATCTATGATCCGAGTGGATCTCTCGACAAAATTCAGGGTTTGGATCTATGATCCGAAGGGATCTCTCGCCAAAATTTAGGGGTCGGATCTATGATCTCTGTGGATCCAGCGGGCAAAAATTTGTGGAGGACCTATGATCTGTATGGATCTCACGACAACATGTAGCCAATGAAACCCTTATCCTACATAATTGTACACCTTACAATGCAATACAATTGAGAATTGTCACTTGTGGACTTGGTTAAGACCAGTTGTAATCATTAGGTATCATCATTAAATTTGAATTTAAATCAACAACATTTGTACTACATTTAAAATAAACCAAGAACATGCACATTGCTACTTTTTGTGACCAATTATAACTTTTTCATGACAGCATTGATGACAATCTTATCAACAAGCTACAGCCACTTTGATTCAATGAACAAACAGTAAAGACAGATGCAGTGGCAGCGGGGCACTGCAGATTTTCATTTTGGTCCCATTTTTCCCATGCAACGCCAGTAGGGCTAATGTTAAAATGCCAAAATCTATGGGGGGCACTGTACCCTGGTGCCCCCCCCCCCCCCTGTTCCGCCGCCTATGGACAGATGTTAGGAAATCAAACCTGGAAGCCAAATTGAAATAGGTCAGTTTTGTTAAAAATAATCAAGCAATCCACTTCTGCCAGGCATGAAATCCCAATCCAGAATGTTCGTATGAGCTATTAGTATGTGCAACACAATTTCGATTTAGTAAGAATAGCAACCAACCTCTAATACTTTCCTAATAAAAGTACAAGTTCAAAAATGGCATCAACTTCTTCAGATTACCTACTTCAACTTTTGGCATCGTGCCAACTGGGGCATTCCACGATAGATCGTACCAGGCCCGTCACCCTCATCTCTCAGATTTTAATGAAAATCGGTCCTAGGGGTAATCATAGGCCTCAAAGACGCCTGGTTAAATATCAGACTTCTCAGATCAAAACTTTTTGAGTTATATTGCATTACATTTTTTTAAATTCGGTTTGTAACGGTGAGTCTGATGGCCTATAACTCAAGAACGGGTTAAGCAACCAACAAAAAGTAAACAACACTAAGCTTGCGATGAAACGAAAATTAGTATTACTATTTAAAAATTCCAAAGAAAAAATTACATTGTTGAGAAAAACCTTAATATTTTTTCATTTGCCTCTAATGACTTTTGGGACCAAAATTTTTCACATTTTTATTTTTTCAAAATTAACTTCATGTCATTGCAAATCGACATGCAAAAAATTAGAAAGGTGTTCTTTCTATAAGTTCCTCATTTTCCCGCAAACAAAATGGGTTTCGGAGGGGTTGATACGACCCCAGCACGCCGTTTCGCTTCTAATAGAGCTAGAGCCTCGCGGAAAAAACGAGCGTGTGTGCCGTTACAAGTCGCAGCGATTGGTACCCGATTTTAACCCGCGCACCGACGGGGGTCTGCGCCAACTTAGTACCGACGGGGGGGGGGGGGCGGATGACCGCCCCCCCCTGAGATCTCGAGAACGAAGCAAGATAGCGACAAGCGGTAAACGGCATCGGATACGCACGGACAAGGTCTACAATTTTTACTAAGGTCATTTTCAGGTCAGGTCAAAGATGACGTCACAGGGGTCGAAAAAGTCAAAATGGCGGCGCTAGATATGGAGAGGGTTTTTCTCGAATAACTTTCGAAGTAGTCAAGATAGGAACAAACTAAGGGCATCATCGTGATCCTCTCGTCAATCCGCATCGAATGATATATATGTTGACCTCGAAAGGTCAAGGTCAAAGGTTGACCTCAGGTCACGTGACCTCGAGGTCATCATGTATATCATTCGATGCGTCTTGACGAGCTGAACACAATGAGACCATCCGCGCGGCTGTATCTTGTTCCTGTAAGGATTTATTGGCAAAAAACCTTTGGTGACCTTTGATGACGTCACATGACCTTACAGCTGCCCAACAGCAAAACAGACCTCAAGGTAGTGAAGGTTGATCGTATGTGAAGTCATGTATGGTATATGGGGCCATTCCGACCCGTTTTAGTGGTAAAAACAGGGAGTTGATTTTTCCCCCATTGACTTATAATGGGGAGGTCGCGAAATTGACCTGACCTTAGGTCACCGACATCAAAATTCCGAGATATACAAATTGTAGCTACTAATGACCTAATAACATCCTGCGACTTTCAAAGGCCTCCGACATCTACTGTAGCTCTGGCACGGTGACAAAGTTGCAAAAAAGTGACTTGAGGTTGGGTCATTCAAAGTGACCTGGTGACCTGACCTTAAAAGTTAGGAGGTTCAAACTTGCACACCATGTGTAAAATTGATGAGGAAATAGTCATACCAAATTTCGCGGCGCTACGCGCCGCGGTTTTCCCGCTATCCGCGAAAAACCTCAGGGGGGGGCGGATATCCGCCCCCCCCCCGTCGGTGCGCGGGTTAAGGTCTCAGGTTAACTGGTAGCGTCTGAGGTCAGGTCAAGTGACTGAAGTTACGGGTTCGGTTTTTAGTAATTAACTTCGCAAATAATGGCCGCAGAGCCGCGATTTTGGCATCATTGTGTTCGCCTAGCTCAGGTGCATCGAATGGTATACTTTTTGCTAGGGTGAGGTCAACTTAAGTAGTTGACCTCGGGTCAAGGTCAGGTCAGAGCCCCTCAGGTCACGAAGCTGGGCAAAGGGTATCATATGGCATATCATTCGATTCGGAAGGTCTTCCCGAGTCCATTGGTGGCTTTCCCGACTCTCTAGCTCCATTTGATCGGGAGTTATTGACGAAAAACTAGTACGACCCTAATGACGTCATAAATGACGTCACGCAAGGTTAAAAATGCGAAAGTGAAGCATTGGACTTTGCAAGGAGTACATTAAATCACGATACCATGTACGTGAGATAGTTTTAGGTCATTCTCGGCGCCAAAATAACAGTTTTTTTATATTTCCCCATTGATTTATAACAGTGATGTCACGTGACCGACCTGACCTCATGTAACCTTACAAAAATTCCCAGATATACAGGTTGTGAGACCTCTGGAGGACACCATGCATGCGTCCTGTAACTTTCATCTCGGACAGCTATGGTCATTGGCGTCCAAAACAATGTCAGAACCAAACAGCCATTTTCACCCTCGCGCTTATAAGAAAGAGGGTTGGATGAACCCTCTTTTCACCTTTTTCAGATGACTCAGACTTCAATTGAAATTTCAGTAACCCGTGATGTCATTAGGCAGCTTTACCACGCCATTTGTAAGCTCCCCTCCCGAAATCACTATTGGAAACCGTTATCGTGACGTAAAATAAATACATTTATAGAAAGAACACCTTCCTAATTTTTGGCATATTTCTTAACAATGAGCCAAATATTTTTTTTAAAGAAATAAAAATTCAAAAAATTTGGTCCCAAAGTCCAAAAAATACAAATGTAAGAAAACTCGATATGTCATATATCAAAAATAGCGTATTTTTTGAAATTTCAAAAATGCATATTAATACATACTT